GATGACCGTGCGCCCCTTCAGGGAAATGTCCACATTCTCTGGAATGTCGACAGTCTGGTTGCTGAGAATGGTCTTCATTCTCGCAGTAGATGCGGCAAAGAGCTGTTTTGTTTTTGTGACAAAATATCTACTCCCCAGCTTTTCTCATCAGATCATCTGTTTTCTTCTCTAGATCTCTTCTCATATATATACATATATATACACACACACAGTATCTTGAATATGCATGATTTTGTCTACTGATGGATGGTAAGACTAACTATGTTGTACAGTCTCTGAGAAATAGGAAGTAGAGGATGCTGCTGGGGCCTTGTTGTTGATAGTTGAATTATTTTTTGGAGTATTTTTGGTAGATATGTGACCTAATAGCTGACTCTTCTCAAAGGCAATAGACATCTCCCGTGGAGATGCCCTAAAATACTAAGCAGTATTGTTAGTTGGATGATGAAATAACCTGATCCTGTTGCCTTGGTAACTGTTCTATTGTCTGTTGTAGATCAGACAAGATGCAATGTGTGGATCTTAGACGGAGATCTGTATCACAAAGGCCTCCTCAAGTTTTCGCTGGAAGCCATTTCTCTGAAGGACACTCTGGTGATGCTGGCTGTTGATCTGTCAAAGCCTTGGACTGCTTTGGATTCTTTACAGAAATGGGCAAGTGTTGTTAGAGAGCATATTGACAAATTGAAAATTCCTCCTGAAGAAATGAAAGAAATGGAACAAAAGTGTGAGTAATTGAGACACATTAATAGATTTAAAACACAAAATTCCTTTACTGACAACATCAATCATTAGGATTCTTTAACTATGAATGAGGTTTAATGAAGGAAACAAGTGACTAATATTTAAAACAATATAGTTTTATATTAGAAATGTATATGTAATGGCAGACTCTTTAGTAGAGCTGCTCTTTCTCCTGGCCTGAAAGCTGCCTGTGTCCCTCTTGGAAAGTTGGTTTTTAGTGAACAAAAACTTGCACCTTTTCTTTAGCTTATTAACCTTGTCAAAGTATGTCAGATAAAACATAACATAAAAATGCTGAGTTTTGTGCTTTACAGGGTACACATATGTGTATATGAATATTTTAGATAGATTTTTATTTCAGAGAACATTTATATTTTGTTTTGTAATCTATTGTAATCATTTTCTTTAGGTATTTAAACATACCACTACTTTTGGTAATTACATTACAAGGTACACATTTTGTATGTGCCTGTGTGAATTGGAAATCTTCAGGGAAATTATGAAAATGATACGGATCCTTTTTAACAGATTATAAGTCAGTCACATTTCTAAATTTAGTGTTCATTTGCCAGTGTTGTCTTACTTAAAAATAAATACTACAGATGAAATGTTACTACTATTTGTTATTAGCTGGCAATAACTTTTAGGTAAAAATTGAGATTTATAGGGATTATATATGTAAGGAAGTCTTAAATCATTGGAAAAAATGTCTAACTACTTTAAATCTATGCCTTTCTTTCCCTCCTAGCCACTGTTTGTGGCTGTTGCCCTGTATTTATATCTAAGTTTATACTAGCCCACACCCAGGCATGGTCCTTGGACCATCAGCGCCATCAGTATTGGAGGGGAATCCGTCAGACGTGTAAATTCATAGGCCTCACCCCAGACTGCTGAGTCAGAAACTCTTGATGGGGATTTAACAGATTCTGGTGTGTGGTGAAATTTGAAGACCCCTGGTAGATTTCAGTCTCTGATAAGAAGGTAGTAGTTGGCAGAGCTGTCTAGGGTGCATATGTGCCTCTGTGTTCTGGAGGAACCAGGTTCAGCTGCTCAGGATTCCCTCTCTTCTTTAACTGCATGTAAACTTAGGATAGATTTCCCCCACATGAACCAGTCTTCATATTCCAAAGAGGCCCTCACTCATGTCTACTCCCTTCCCTTTGTGTTCAGTCTGGGTAGATTGGAGAAACAAATCCAGGGAGACTTGTCATGTGTACAAGAGAGAGTTTTATATCAAAGAGTAATTGTACATTAAGAAAACATGCCAGCCCAGCCCAGATCGTCCATAAGTCCAATATTAGCCCATATGTCCAGTACTAGTCCATAAATTCTTTAGACTCACGCAGTCATGCAATAATGCTAAATGCAGGAAGACCACAGGCCAGTGGGTGGTGGAAGAAGCATCTCAGTGCTGCAGGGGTCTCCACATGTCCCCTACAGCTCCCAGGGCTCTGACTGAATCAGCGTCGCTCCATCAGGCTTGTCAGTAATGTCCCAGGGAGTGAGCCTGTGTCAAGCCTCCAGCGAGCTACTTATTTCCTTAGCGCCTCCAAATGAGGTCATCAAGCTGCTACCTGATTCACAGGCTAAACTCCACTCTTACATTCTTTAAGTCTCAAATGGAGACAACAGATTATGTAACTAACACATCCTCTTTAGTTCTGAATTGGAATCACTCTGATTTTCCTGGGCTGGTTGTTTTGTCGTTGTTTTTTTCTCCTCTTAACATTATTATTTTCTTAAAACAAATAGTTTTAGAAAACGTAGGTGTTTTTTTTAAAATGACTCTAATATTCCCTCATGTACTTTTTTTTTTTAACATTTTATTAGGGGCTCATACAATATGACTAGTCCTGTGTAGTTACTGCTGTACATGTAGCACTGATGATTTCCTTAATTCTCAGAAAGTGATGACTGGTGCAAAGTGTATGGGAGATTATTCATACACTCGTCTTTTTTTTCTTTAGTGGCAATTTTGCAAATAAGTTCTAAAATTTTATCAGTATCAGTAATGGTAATATATTATTAATTCCTTCCAGGGTTATAAAAGAACACGACCCAAAATTGAGCCTTGGTACAAAGGAGACCTGGATAAAGTATTCTTCTAATCTCAAACTTATCCAGGACTGTCTTTTACATTATAGACTATTATTAAATTATTGTTGATGTTGTTATTATTGGAGGCTTTTGTCACACATATCTTCTTTTACCTATTCACTGGCCTTTTTGGATAGGAGAAGAAGGTAGAGAGAAAAATAGATGGTGACTTGCCCAAAATATTTTGCCCAGACTGAACTGCGCATAGGTAAAACCATGCTCTTTGGAGCCCCCTAGTGCTGTCCTGGGCTTCCTAATACATACATAACGTGAGTCTGGTGTTCGCTTATGTACTTGCCTTTTCAATAGGTTTCTCAAACCCTTTCTCTTCTGTTTTACCAAAAATAAGTATGAAGTCTAGTAAGATGTATGGCAGATAAATCTAAGTGATTAAATAAAGCACCTTCTCAACTATGTATTAAATTATTTGATTTTCAGTGATTAGAGACTTCCAAGAATACGTAGAGCCAGGAGAAGATTTCCCGGCTTCTCCTCAGAGAAGAAATACTGCGTCACAGGAGGACAAAGATGACAGTGTGGTTTTACCTCTGGGTGCGGATACGCTTACACATAACTTGGGCATTCCAGTACTAGTAGTTTGCACAAAGGTTCGTTTGCTTCCTAGAAATCTACCAGGAGAATGACTTTTTGTTTTCTGGCTGTGTGTGTGTGTGTGTGTGTGTGTGTGTCTCTAGCCTAACACATTAGTTTCATAGAGAATTAAAGAAAAAATTAATAGTTTAAATTTGGAGTGTTAGTCACATGTTGGTCATATGATCTTAATTATAATTTTGGGGAAAGAGAATGTTACTTCAAAAACTTGTTATTCAACATTTACATAACAAAATATTTACTCTTTTAACCATATTGCATATGCAATTAAATGATATCAATTAAGTTCATGCTGAAGACTTATCATGCTATACATTTCCTTTAAGATTGTGATTATCACGATTCTGCTAACTTTCCTGTCGTTGCGTACACTTTGTAATAAAAACTCATTTCCTTTATACAATTTGCTTTTCATCTTCTGACTGCGAGGTCCTATGATTTTACTGTTTATAACTCAAGGAATATTTAAGAAAATGACAGGCCATAAATCCTCTTGAGATCTAAAATTATAATTGTTTTTTGTAACATCTAAAATTTGTACATATAAGTTAAAAGATGTTACGGAATTTATTCTCTTTTAAAATGTAAATGCTTCAAAAACATTTAATTAACAAAAGAATGGGGGAGCATTAATAAAATGTGTAAGTTAAAATGTATTATCAGCCTTTAAACTGGTAGTTCTGGTTTAATTCTTATTTTTACCTTTTCTATATAACTATAGGGTGAGTTGAAAAGTATTGCTACTAACGTTCCAGATCATACAGGCACAGGTTTTTTCCAAACACGTCTCTGATGTGTGGGAGGTTGTAGACAATTTCTCTCAGTAATTTACTTGTCTTAGGCTTGTTAGGATGCCTCCAAAAAAAAGTCCAATCCAAACAGTGGCTTTCTTCCATGAGAATCTGCTGGACCATTTAATTCAAGGCCGAGAGCTTAGGTCAGAAAGTATAGTAACTATTTGGGTGGGGATCCCAAAGGGAGGGTAATCCTGATAGCTTTTCTAAAAGGACCCAGAATGATCACAGGAACTTAATAAGTTTTAAGAAAATTGAGAACTGTATTGATGAGAAAAAGGCCAATAAAGTTGCACTGAGGAATTGGATTCTATCATGACAGTGTACCTGTTCATTCTCGAAGGGTAGCCAGCACTGTCCCATGAGAGCTTCATTGGGAAACTGGGATATAGCCCACAGCCCTGACCATACCCCTCTACTCTTCTTTTTCCCAAAATGCAAAGAACATGTAAACGGAACATGATTTGAGTTTATAAAGGATGTCAAACTGCTGCTTCGATGTAATGTAAATTGAAGAGCTCAGAATTCTTCAGGGGAGAGTTAGAGAGATGGAAACACTGCCTTTAGAAGCTGCACAGGCCCAGATGAAGGACATGCCAAGAAATAGTAGCTTCACATTTTGATATTTTTGTCTAGTAAAGATTTTTCTATTTTGTAACAATATGTCTTGATTTACCTTTGTATTTCTGAGTTCATATTATGAGTGATTACATGCCCGATGTGTATTCTGAAAGTGTTAACTGGTTTATACCTTATGAGAATTGAGCATCATAAAAACATATAAAAGCAAAAAAAAACACCACCATAAAAGCACAACTAAAAATACTTAGAAAGGAAATCAGTGCTTAATATTCTAAGTTCTATTTTTCAGTTGCCCCATCTCACAATTAACTTTTACCATCTTTTTATTAGAGTTAATCTTGTGTTATTCTTTTTAATTATCTTAACAGTGTGATGCCATTAGTGTATTGGAGAAAGAACATGACTACAGAGATGAGCATTTTGACTTCATTCAGTCACATATCCGGAAGTTTTGTTTACAGTGTATCCTTTTAATACAGTGGTACTATGTACCTTACTTGATCGGGGTTTTTTAAGCAAAGGAATTAAATTGATGGGCGGTAAGAAATTCTTTGAATGTTTTTTCTCCTGCCTCTGTTTAGAAATTTCATTTTAAATCCCAGTTTTTCATTTTAGTTTTCAAGTGATTTATATATGCATGGATGTTTTTAGATACAAAACAAGTAACAAAGTCTTTTTAAAATTTGTTTAAAGTACTTATGTGTCTAAAAATTATCGGTCTTTTGTGGAAATGCTAATAAGTTGTTCTTACAAGCATATCTGAATAGAATGCTATATATTCACTTATTGAGGGGTGGGGAAGAGTAAGATTAATCTTGATGTTTGTTTGTTATTTTTAATATACTTTGTTGTCATTTCCACACAGAGTTTAACATAATGGTTTCAAAATCGGACTGTACATCAGAATTTCTGATCTAACCTGAAGTAGAATATTACAAGATGAGGCTGTAGAATCTGGGTTTTTTTTAATGGTTAGATGGTTTTAATGATCTCAAGGATTGAAAGTCTGCTATACGGAATCTTGGTTAATCTAGGTTATAAGAATTAGCTGAGCCAGTCACTAGCATAGCAAGGTGAAAATGAATGCTATTAAGAGAATTTACTGTTGAAAACTTAGACACAGTTTGAGTGTGCGCCCACCCATTTCTCTTGGATCTGATATTTTACAATTTGATTCCCCAACCAAAGCTTTTGAGTTAAAAAGTGATTAAATTATGAGTGGATAGTAATAATTGATACACTTTTTTTTTTTTTAACAAGGACTCATGGGAAAATTCCATTATCTCTTTTTTTTCTCCATTATCTCTTAATTGCATTTTCCATAGAACTCTTCTGTAATGTACAGATCATCTTTATTAATGGGTATTCAATTCAAGCATTTAATAGAAAGCCTAGCCAAAATAAGATAGACACTTAGTACTGGTATTTCCCCTTTCCACTTTTTCCTTCTGTTTGTTCTATCCATAAGCTTTTTCTTCCTACAAAACATAATGGTTGAGTTGAGTTAAAGGGTAGTAGTCTTTAATTAAAAAAATTTGTTTTTAAGTGACCATAGATGCCTGTGACCTTTTAGTGACCTATGAAGGTACAAGTATGGAAGGGTATCCAGGAAGAACATTGTCTGTTACAGATCTTAAGTGCCAGTTGATTTTAAAGTATCCAAAAATGTGAGAAGTCTACAATTTAATGGACAGTTTCAATTGCAATGTAAAATTTTCAGCTATTGAAATCTTGCAAATGATCATAAATCAGTTATAGAGAAGATCATTAATGAAAAGCTTGCACAATTACTACTTAAGATTATAATGTTTGTGTCCATCAAGCTTTATTCTAAGGTAAGGAGTGCCTAAAAATGGCATTTTGGGATTCTTAAACTCTAGGCCAGTCCCAGGAAATATGAGGATGCCAAGTAAAGTTCTTAGACCACACACCGTTTTCCTTTAGCCTAAGCCACCTTCTCTTGTGGACCATGGCCCATTCTAGAACATGGTCTTCAGTCTGTGGCCATAAGCTCTGACAGACTACATTGTCTTACAGCACTCACTGGTACAGGCCCCGGGCCTTTGTGGATAAAAGATCAAAGTTAGGAGCTGTTGTAATGAGCGCACCTTCACGTGAGGCTGTTTATCTCACCTTTTTGTCACTCCTGGAAGGCTTGTTCCTCTGCCCTCTGCAGTGGGTCTCCTCGGTTTTGTCTCCAGAGTCCCAGTCCCTTAGATCTGTGAAAACTACAAGAGGCATTCATACACCATTTTTTGTTGAAAATGCAACTAAGCGGGCAAGAAGTGTAGGGTAAATACATTTTTTTTAAAAAACAGTTATTTGTGTACTTTAAATATAGAAGGGATAGCAATGTCAATGTTAATAAATGTACCTTTACTTTCTTGGCTTAATGAGACTTTCACTCTCGTAAGGTAAATAGATTAGGTAAAGATTGTTTTATATGCATTTTAATTCTTAAGTAGTTTATAGTTTTGAAATTCCCTATTATAAAATAACTTTAGAAGTTGTTTTTGAAACTAGAATACATGTAGATGTACATCTTAATTAAGCTCAGAGCACAGAACTTTGTGGTGTCTGTCCATGAAGCTATCTGAAATTTCCTTTAACTAATGATATTATTCAGATGGTGCAGCACTTATTTACACTTCAGTAAAAGAAAACAAAAATATAGATTTAGTATATAAATATATTGTTCAGAAACTCTATGGATTTCCGTATAAGATTCCTGCTGTTGTTGTGGAAAAAGATGCAGTATTTATGTAAGTATAATCTTCAGTGTATTATTTGATCATGCACTGATGCTAATTTTGGCCAATCATCATTTTCGGTTTTAAGGTGGGACCAGTAGAATTTCCATGTTGAGTATGTGAGAAACTGTTCATAGATGGCTTTATGTATAAACTGCTTTGATCTGTTTACTTTGCCTCTTAGATTTACTAATTGTGTGAACCTTTTTAAAAGACCTTTGCTAATGTAGTTAAACTCTCTATTGAGTGCATATTATCAGTGTATTATATCTACTCATTCTTTAATTGTCTGAATGACCCAATGTGTGATCTACATTGCTTTTTAAAAGCTACATGAATAAAATTTGGAGGTAATAATTATTGCTCCCTCACCCCCCCCCCAAAAAAGCATTACAATGACATTTTTGTATCAGGAAGATTGATGACCATTTTAAGTACATAATAAGCAAAACTTGAGAATTTGCAGAAGCTGTTTCATTTTCCGTGCTTCATCAAATTGCCCTTTACATGTGTGATGCTTTTTTTCATGATTCATCGACGTGTTCTTTACGTGTATGAACTGGGTGAAAGAATAGATGTATAAATACTTTAGCGTTTATTGTATGCATTTCTTTCCAGTCCAGCAGGTTGGGATAATGATAAGAAAATAGGAATATTACATGAAAATTTTCAGACATTGAAAGCAGAAGATAATTTTGAAGACATCATAACTAAGCCCCCTGTCCGAAAGGTAAAACTTTTACTATGTAGTCTGTATATTTAGGCTTTTAGATTGAGAGGGAACTTCATAGCTTTGAAATAAAAAGGACCTCCTTGCCTTATACTTTCAATCAGGAGGGTTTCTAAGTGTAATTTGGTTAGTTCTAATAGACTGGACTGTTCACATGAAGGACTTTTTGTGTGTTTGCAAAATAAAACTATTCAGTAGCTGAAATATTACTTGGCCTTTAGTATAGTATTTATATTAGCAAAATGGTTGTGCAGATTCCATAGTCTTCTGTTCTAACCCGAAGCAGACCTATTCCCGTGGTGTTGGTTCTGATTCCCATTGACCCTGTGGGGAGGGACTGTGTTAGGGCAGCCACCTCTCTCTTTCTCAAGAGCGTCTGGTAGGTTGAGTGTACAGCCAGGAGCTTAGCCCAATTCATAACAATAGCAAAATGACAGTTATGAAGTAGCAACAAAAATAATGTTATGGTTGGGGGGTCACCACAATATGAGGAACGGTATGAAAGGGTCGCAGCATTAGGAAAGTTGTGAACCACTGCTCTAATAAGAACCCAAAAGACTAAATCCATTGCCTCTGAGTCAATTCCAACTCATAGTAGCCCTATTTCGGGTTTCTGAGACTGCAAATCTTTAGAGGAGCAGACAGCCTCATCTTTTAAAATAGTGCCTTAGAAATCATGACTGTGTGGCTATTCAACAGTTGGAACATCTAAAATCTGAGGTTTCCAACCGAAAGCTCAGCCAGAGATCAAGAAAGCATCGGCAGAAGCGTTTTCTTGGCTTCTCTTTACTGAGCCAGCCTTCGGATCATCTCCATGGTCATTAGTTACTCATAGTAGCTTCACAGCTTTCCCAGAAATTCCAGTTTCCTGTACTTAATTATTAGTCTTGACTGTGATATCCCATTCTCGTGAATATGAAACTTGGGCCAACAAACTGTTCCTCCTTCATCTTTCTTGATTTCGTGGTGAGCTGTATGTGATGACCTGTAGTTGTAGGTGTTTCTGAAACATTATATAAACATGAGTATTTGTGGTTAACACTCCTCACTGGCTCACTTTTAATTTGGACATGTGATTCAGCGAAAAATAGTTTTGATATAAGATGTTATAAGATTCTTAGGAATCTAAACATTCATAGCATGGTACCTGTCCTTTGTTGGTATGCAAAGGGCTTTGACAAAGTTTATGGAGAAATAAAATGAAAAGTTAATGGGATTTTCCCACAAACTTTCTAAAGCTCATTTCTATAATTAATAAGTAAGTCATATGAAAACCAATTGTTAAATTTTATGTAGATATTTGAGTATCCACTCACACTGTTGTAGGAACCAGTCCATGTCCCGACGACCGTCAGATGGTGACAGGTGCTATGAAAGTAAAGCAGTGGAGAAAGCTGTAACCAGTGCAGTGCAGTAAGGGATAAGAGACAGAGTTAGTGTATTGTGGGGCCTTCTCCTTAGACTGCAGTGAACACTGCATGGATTTCATTCCAAGTAAAAATGGGAAGCTATTGGAGAGTTTGAGCAGAGGAGTGGGATAATCTTATTACCATTAAAAAGGATCACATTGAAGAAGTCCTAGTGATACAATATTTAAGTATTTAACTTAACTGAAAGGGTAGCGGTTCTGAGCCCCAGCCCTGTCTGAGAAACCTGGTGACTGTTTCCATAAGGAGTACAGCAGAGAAAACCCTATGGGGTAAACCTATTCTGCCACTTAAAGCCACTGTCAGTTGCGATTGACCTGACAATGGCCATCAACAGTTGATGGCCTAACATATCCAATGCCATAGAAAATCAAAGTAATAAAAACTGGAGTGAGAAAAACCTAAACATCTCTGGGTACTGGGAATTAAAAATAGACTGAGGAGTACATTGTTCAGCAACAGTAGAAGCAGGAGGCATTTGTAATTCCATTTTCCTAATTGTTCAGAATATAGAAGAGCTATTATTTGGCTACTGATATTTACATATTTATGCGGGTTTTTACAAAACTGAGATAAAGCACCCAATTGTTTAACAAATCTTACAAGTGATATTAATATCCCTCTGGCCTAAGTTATGCTCTTCAATACTGTAGTTGCTAGCCACATGTATCTTTAAAATGCAAATAAAAATAAAAATAGTTGTACAAGTTACATTTCAGGTGCTCAAACACCAGTGGTGGCTTGTGGCTATGCTTGTGCCCAGTACAGACAGCATGTTTGTATCCTTACAGAAAGCTGTTGGGCAGCTCTGCTGTGGGGCTTGGCTTGACAGTTCACCTATGTGGATATACTCTAACTCACTGCCAGGGAGTTGATGCTTAAGCGACCCTATAGGACAGAGTAGAACTGCCCTTATGAGTTTCCAAGACTAACTGTTACAGTCTTGGAAGTAGAAAGCCCCATCTTTCTTCCCTTAGAGCAGCTAGCTGGTGGTTTTGAACTCTGCTGACCTTGTGGATCGCAGCCCAACTTGTAACCACTAACCACCAGGGTTCATGTATATGTAAATGTTCGGGGGGTTGAAGTGTTTTTTAATGAGTATACTCTAGAGAGAAATTACTTGGTTTAGCATAATATATTAAACTTACTCAAGTATGCATTATTTATTTCAGTTTGTGCATGAGAAGGAAATCGTAGCTGAAGATGACCAAGTGTTTCTTATGAAGCTACAGGTATGAATTTGCATCAGAAACAAAAATCGCTGGTGCATAAACTGTACTTACAGGTTTTCTTTAAAAATACAACAGCACATGCTATGAATATCTAACTAGAATTCTTTTTTCCCCTCCTCAGTCCCTTTTAGCAAAACAACCACCAACTGCAGCTGGAAGACCTGTGGTCAGTATTAAAGAATGTGACAGAACTATTTTAAATGCTGAGCATTTTAGGGGTTTTTCTCCCTTTAAATATATACATAGTTCATATGCCTGTGCTTTAATATAAACTTTAGCTCAGAATTCTGGAATCTGTTTGGTGAGATTGAAAATGATAAGCTTCGTTTTCTTTTTAGATAACTTAAGTCATGTAATGATCTATTTTGCAAATAATATGTTATTTACTGTGGTGAGCCCTTCATGTTTTGTGAGGATTTGTAAACACAAGTCCTCAACAGCCCCACAAGCCCTCAACAGCCCCACAAGCAGGTATTATTAGCCCCATTTATAGATTGGGAAATAGAGGCTGTAAAGGTGGTTGTGTATAATCTGAGATTATACAACTCTGGATTGGAAACTAGATTTGACACCGAAGCATATGTTTTCAATCATAACTCTTTCATACGATCCTCCCAATGTGTCAAGCACATTTGCTCATATGCTGCCATCATCATTTTCAAAGCATTCTCTTCCCACTTGAGCCCCTGATACCAGCTCCCCATTTCTTCCCCTGCCCTTCCTCCCTCCAGAACCCTTGATAAGTTATAGATTATTTTTTCCATATCTTCCATCATCCTCTGTTGCCCCTCACCCACTTTTCCATTATTCGTACCCCTGGGAGGGAGTTCTAGGTTGACCCTTGTGATCGATTCCCCCTTTCTCCCCCCACTTTCTCCTAATCCTCCTGGTATCTCTACTTTCCTTGTTAGCCCTGAGGGGTTTATCTATCCTGGATACCCTGTGTTGCGGGCTCTTAATCCATAGCAGTGTGCATGCTCTGGTCTAATCTGATTTGTAAGGTAGAATTGAGGTCATGATAGTAGGGTGAGGGAAGT